CACCCGACCCCTGTCACCCATCCCCTGGCCCCTGGCCCCTGGTCCCTGTCCCCTGTCACCCGTCCCCTGTCCCCTGTCACCTGTCCCCTGTCCCCTGTCACCTGTCACCCGTCCCCTGTCTGCTGTCCCCTGTCCCCTGTCCCCTGTCACCTGTCCCCTGTCACCTGTCCCCTGTCCCCTGTCCCCTGTCACCCGCCCCTGCCAGCACAGGCCCCCTTGGCCCCCACTGTGGCCATCCTGGTGGCCACCCTGCCACGGTGCCCCATTGCCCATCCTGGTGGACACTCCTGTGGTTCCTTTTGGCCGTCCTGCTGGTCACCCCAATGGTCACTGTTGGCCATCCTGGTGGCCACCCCAATGGTCACTGTTGGCCATCCTGCTGTCCCTGCCATGGCCCCTTTTGGCCTTCCTGGCGGCCACCCCAATGGTCACTGTTGGCCATCCTGCTGGCCACCCCCATGGTCCCTTTTGACCTTCCTGCTGACCACCCCCATGGTCCCCATTGGCCATCTTGGTGGCCCTCACATAGTCCTCATTGACCATCCTGGTGGCCCTGCCACGGTGCCCCCTTGGCAATCCTGGTGGCCACCCCAATGGTCACTGTTGGCCATCCTGGTGGCTGTCCCCATGGTCCTCACTGGCCATCCTGGTGGTCCTGCCACAGTGCCCCCTTGGCAATCCTGGTGGCCACCCCAATGGTCCCTTTTGGCCCTCCTGGTGGCCACTCCCATGGTCCCCCTGGCCATCCTGGTGGCCACGGTTGTCCACCATGGTCTCCCTTGGCCATCCTGGTGGCCAGGTCCATGGTCCCCACTGGTCATCCTTTTGGCCACTCCCATGGTCCCCTTGACCATGCTGGTGACCACGGTTGCCCCACCATGGTCTCCCTTGACCATCCTGGTGGCTGCCCCCCGAGGCCCCCTCACTGACCGTCCCGGTGGCCGCGGTGGCCCCGCCGCGGTCCCCGCTGGCCCGCAGGAAGCCCAGCGAGTACATCCAGGCCATCCTGGAGCTGAGCTCGCTGGTGGTGCGGCGCCAGCACCGCCCGCTGCTCCACCCGCCCTGGCTCTACCGCCTGTCCCCCGACGGCTGGCGCTTCGCCCGCGCCTGCGCCGCCGTGCGCGGCTTCACCGCCGACGTGGTGCAGCGCCGGCGCCGGGACCTCGCCCGCCTGGGCCACCAGGCCTGGCTGGAGGGCCACCGAGGGCGCAGCATGGACTTCATCGACCTCCTGCTGCTCGCTAAGGTGGGGCGGGTGTGGGGGGGTGGGTGTGGGGGGGTGGGTGCAGGGGTGGCGGTGACCATGGGGAAGGTTGGTCGTGGGGTGGTGGCCATGGGGGGATGGTGGTGGCCATGGGAATGGTTGTGGCCATGGGGAAGGTTGGCCGTGGGGTGGTGGCCATGGGGGGATGGTGGTGGCCAAGAGGATGACGGTAGCCAAGAGGTTGGTGGTGGCCATGGAAGAGATTGGCCATGGGGTGGTGGCCATAGGTGGATGGCAGCGGCCATGGAAGAGGTTGGTCATGGGTTGGTGGCCATGGGGGGATTGCGGTGGCCAAGAGGACGGGGATGGCCATGGAAGAGGTTGGTCATGGGTTGGTGGCCATGGGGGGATGGTGGTGGCCAAGAGGATGGCAGTAGCCATGGAAGAGGTTGGCCATAGGGTGGTGGCCACGGGGTGATGGTGGTGGTCATGAGGATGGGGATGGCCATGGAAGAGGTTGGCCATGGATTGGTGGCCACGGGGGGATGGTGGTGGCCATGGGGAGGGTTGGCCACAGACTGGTGGCCCAGGGTGGCCCCGGGTGGCCCGGTGGCTCACCCTGCCCCTCGCAGGACGAGGACGGCAACACCCTGTCGGACGAGGACATCGCGGCCGAGGCCGACACCTTCATGTTCGAGGGTGAGGACCCCGTCCTCGTCACCGGGTGCCACGGGGGGTGACACCCGGGTGCCCCCTCGCTCACCCGCTGTCCCCACAGGCCACGACACCACGGCCAGTGGCCTGGCCTGGCTCTTCTACAACCTGGCCGGCCACCCCGAGTACCAGGAGCGGTGCCGCCAGGAGGTCCGGGAGCTCCTCGCGGGCCGGGACACCGAGGACATCGAATGGTGAGAGGTCCCCGGGGTCGTTCCCGGCCACCCCTTGCTTTGGGGACACGGTGCCAAGCGTGGCTCGTCCCCAGGGAGGACCTGTCCCGCCTGCCCTTCACCACCATGTGCATCAAGGAGAGCCTGCGGCTGCACCCGCCCGTCCTCGCCGTGTCCCGGCGCTGCACCGAGGACGTGGCCCTGCGCGACGGCCGCGTCATCCCCAAGGGTACGGCCACCCCGGGCTGTCCCCGCTGTCACCCTCCCGCCCCCGGCCCCTGTCCCTGAGGTGACTGTTCCTGTCCCACCAGGGATCATCTGCCTGATGAGCATCTACGGGACCCACCACAACCCGGAGCTCTGGCCCGACCCCGAGGTAGGGCCACGGGGGCGTGGGGGGGCCCTGTCACTGTGGGGGGGACAGAGGTGTCCCCATGGCATGGCAGTGTCCCTGTCACCGTGGTGAGGGTGGCCATGTCCCCATGGCATGACGGTGTCCCTTTCACCATGGCAGTGTCAGCCATGTCCCCATGTCGTGGCAGTGTCCCTGTCCCCATAGCAGTGCCAACCGTGTCCCCATGGTGTGGCAGTGTCCCTGTCCCCATGGCGGGGATAGAGGTGTCCCCATGGTGTGGCAGTGTCCCTGTCCCCATGGCAGGGACAGAGGTGTCCCCATGGTGTGGTAGTGTCCCTGTCCCCATGGCAGTGCCAGCCGTGTCCCCATGGTGTGACAGTGTCCCTGTCACCATGGCAGTGCCAGTTGTGTCCCCATGGCGTGACGGTGTCCCTGTCACCATGGTAGTGCCAGCCATGTCCCCATGGCATGACAGTGTCCCTGTCACCGTGGTGAGGATGGCCATGTCCCCACAGCATGACAGTGTCCCTGTCCCCATGGCAGTGCCAGCCGTGTCCCCATGGTGTGGCAGTGTCCCTGTCCCCATGGCAGGGACAG